AATAGGACAAAACTACACTTCTCACTCTTGCCTAACTCCAAGCATCCTTTCAGGCTGATGACCTTCTGCTACCTGGCAGCGTTCAACTGGTGGCTACTCCTGTGCCCCTGGACGCTGAGCCACGACTGGCAGATGGGCTCGGTGCCGCTCATCACCAGCGGCTGGGACCCTAGGAACCTGCTCACTTGTGCTGCGTTTGGGGCACTGCTGCTGTTGTGCTATAGGTGCATTGCGGACTTGGAGGTTGGTATAGCGAAGATAACTTTAACGCCTTGACAATAGAGTCGATTGATAAGTAGATTGGGAAAATTATTAGTATCTTCATTGGTGATCACCTCTTTATCCAAAAACCCTCTTTGACTGGGGGCATAGTGTGAGTTTACGTCAAACGCATTCGATGTCGACTGCATAAAAAAGCGTCCACATGTCGGTATCGTACGCATCGGACGTATCGCACGCAACGAATCGTAGTATTATTTTTATAGAAACTCATATAAGTGCGTCCACCTGTCCGCATCGTACGCATCGCACATCCGATACGATGTGTTTTGTACGATGCGTCCGTTGCGTACGATACCGACAATTGGACGCTTAGCTTTTTGTATGACGGATTGTACCACTGTACAATCCGTCATACAAAAAGCTAAGCGTCCAAGGGTCACTACCCTAGCGGATACTTTCAAGAACTAAAATCTTCATAGATTTAGTGACGACGTTTGATTTATTCACACTAAGCCCTCTGTCAATAATATGAGACTCGAAGAACCTAGATACTAGAGTTGCCGTCAGAATTAGAAATACTTATTTATTAAGCCTGTGTTTTGTACGACTTGTACCGTAGATAAAAACATTTTTCTTCTTACTCTAAGTGACTTACAGAAATACAGAGTCTTTCCCTACCAGGTACAGAGGCACACGCCAGCTGTGATCGGTCTGCTACTGCTTGTGGTACCTTTCGTGCCGGCCAGTAACCTGCTCGTCACCGTCGGCTTCGTCATCGCAGAGAGGGTGCTGTATATACCTAGGTAAATATAACTCCTATACAGCCAGGATATATGGTTTAGACGCTAATGAACTTGTTGCTAAGCTGAAGTAAGAATCCATAAAGAATTGAAATTGAAAAGGACTAAAAATTCTGCAACTTATTGAGATTGTAAAGGACTAAAAGTGCTCTCCTAACGTTTGTATTTTGCCCACAGTGTAGGCAGCGTGATCATCACAGCCTACGGCGTCCAGCTCATGTGGTGTTCCAGGCCCGGCACCAAAGCCATCCTGGTGGTGGGACTGGCAGTCCTTGCAGCCAGTAGCGTGGCGAGGACCTACCGAAGGAACGCGGATTGGCGAGACCGCGCCACGTTGTTAAGGTAAGCTTTGTAGCCAGTGTAGGCAGCGCGGCAGCGTGATTATCACAGCCTACGGCGTCCAGCTTATGTGGTGTTCCAAGCCCGGCACCAAAGCCATCCTGGTGGTGGGCCTGGCAGTCCTTGCGGCCAGTAGTGTGGCCAGAACCTACCGAAGGAACGCGGATTGGCGAGACCGCGCCACGTTGTTAAGGTAAGATATTTTTAGACAAACTACAGGCGGATAAAGGTCGCGGTGGTGCCTGGATGCGAGCGGCGCAAGACCGGTCTTTGTGGAAATCCTTGGGGGAAGCCTTTGTCCAGCAGTCTTTCGGCTGAAACGAACGAATGAACAGGCGGATAGTTAGGTCGGGCTCTAAATCGATGTTTTTATCGGCCTGTTTTGAACAACGTTTTTTATCTGCCTATTCCTCATAAAAATTAGAAGCCAACCAAACTATCAGCCGATAAAAAGTGTGTAGTACCTCTACTAGTCTGCGAGGACGCTTAGTCAAGGGCTTCGTCGTTGTGATAAAAATTTGAAAATAATTAATTTCTTTATAGAAGCTGAAATTATAAATTAATCGCATAGAGTGAGCTTCTGATGTCGATTCTGAGACCTTTTCTGCACCACAATAATAAACGTAAAATAATATTAAATATTATATTAGTACGAGAATACCATCAGTTTTATAATTCAATAGAGCTCGCTGAGTATAAACTCCATAAAGTCGCGTTACGAGTTCTTCCCGGTCAGAAATACAAGTAAAGCCTAGACCACACTTGGCTACATATAGAAATTACTTTTTTGTCACATTCATTAAACATAATGAATATGACAAAAAAGTTTTTTGCCAGAGGCTGTTGAAAAGCTTTCAACTGATTTATCTACGACTGTATAGAACTTCTGAATTACTTTTACAATTGTTTGTTTTTTTAAAGAACAATACGTCATTGCAGTAGACTTCTATCGTGCATTTCTAGCGATATAAAACGAAACGTGTCGTCTTCATAAAACAATGTAATGATCTTTATTCGATTGCATAAAGTCGCATACATTGTTTGTTATGTAATTTTCGGATAACTAGATACCCGTGTATTATTATTTCCAAACTTAGGTCACTATTTCTTTCATTGTTTCTCGTGCTTCACTTTAAACACCAATGTGAGTCTACCCTTACACCGGACCCCGTAGCTTTATGGTTCAATTTCATCACTTCCAATGAGCAGTTATTGCATGTTTATGGCGATACCTTCCCATAACGGTTTCGTTTAAGGGGGGAGTTGTTCGTTTATTCGGCTTTGATAGCTAATCATTGTTCGGGCAATATTTTATGGGAACAGCTAATTGGCCTGTCATCGACACAAAAGTCCGCTGCGGTCGATATTATACAGCTTTGTTATTTTCCTATATCTTTTGCTGTTAATACCGTTATAAATGTATATTCATGGATAAATATGTTGTTTTACATTTAACGCAATAAATAACATTTATAACTCCTGTTGTTAAATTCCTGTAGACAATACTAGCGACTCGCCCCTACTTCGCACAGGTACAATGTATTATACTTACTTAAAAACCAACTTAAAAACCTTCCTCTTGAATCACTTTATCTATTAAAAAAAACCGCATCAAAATACGTTGCGTAGTTTTAAAGATCTAAGCATACATAGGGCAGACAGACAGGAAAGAGGCTTTGTTTTATGTAGTGATAGTGATTCAAATTCAAATTATTTATTTTGGTATACAAAGGATCTTACATCTTCAACTACATAAAAAGAGGAAAAGTCTACCGATTGTTAAAAGATCCTCACCAATAATAAATCCACTAGGTGCCCTACCAACAAATTATCTTCTACCTACACCTAAACCCTAAATAATGTGATTTGAATAGTAAATTGACTGGTAAAAGGAATGCTAGGGTTTTATTTAGAACCATTCAAATTAGAATTTGTTTTTTTTTCTTCTAAAGATACCTATGTACCTACAACCCACTACCTATACGCTTGAATACTGCTAAATAACTTCTAAGAATTTTGCCCAATTCGTATAATTCCGTTTTACAAAATTATGAGACATCATGTGCGTAGTCCAACCTTGCTAGCGAAGTTTAACTTCAAAGTCCCATTACGAATACCACGTAAACCCATTGAACCTCTCTCCCGCCCCTTTCGAAAAACTGTTCTAGGAGCCAACTCTCCTATATGTCGGATCTGTAAGATCTACAATAAATTTAGTGGTCCCCTGGATGTGCATTTCATGTCCCTACCCAAATTCAAGGCTACAGCAACCGACTCTATATCATAATAATTTAACTTATATAACATCATTTATGCTAACTAAGCAGCAACTTATATTTCTTGCAAGCTGTGTATACCTTTAAGTGATAGTGCAATTACCTTAATATTTTGCGTATTTTTTTACATATTGTGTATTGTTGTACCTATCGTTGGTGTACCTAATAAATAAATAAATAAGTATGAAGAATCGGCCGATACCAAATTGGTGTAGTGTGCGCATTTTCATACATGTTCATACTGATTAACAGCCCGACAACTATCGGCCAACAAAAAGTCTGTAGTCTACAGCTAGACTAAATCCTGGAATTGAAACTTGGCCTACTGGATGCAAGTATAAGGGGGCGTCCATTAATTACGTGAGACAATTTTGACAATTTTTCAACCACCCCGCCCCCCTTGGTGAGATTTGGTGAGATTTTTCTAGACCCCCCTCCCCCTCCCCAAAATCTCACGTGAGATTTGTTAAAATACATATTTGCAATGTAAATGGGTCATATCTATGCTTCGATTACGATTTAATTTAAAAAAAAAGAATAATTTATTTCATCATTATTATCTTAAAATATATTGATTTTTTTAAATTTAAAATAACCCAGTTTTCTCACAATTTGAATATTTTTCTTGCTNCATATTTGCAATGTAAATGGGTCATATCTATGCTTCGATTACGATTTAATTTAAAAAAAAAGAATAATTTATTTCATCATTATTATCTTAAAATATATTGATTTTTTTAAATTTAAAATAACCCAGTTTTCTCACAATTTGAATATTTTTCTTGCTGAAAAAAATTACGTGATATTTGTCGAGACCCCCCCTCTCCCCTACGTGAGATTTATAGACCCCCCTCCCCCCCCCTAAACGTCTCACGTAATTAATGGACGCACCCTAAGAGAATTCTTTGTTTACTGGACGACTGACTGCAACGTAGAAAGTTGCAAGAAAAGCTTACTATTAAGCTACTATTATCCCAAAACTATACACAATTGCGATAATCTTTCTCCACCCGAAATCCTCGGAATACAAAGACCAAAATCCTTCTAGAAACCAAAACTTAGTTATAGACTGCTAAATGGTTTTTGTTTAATGTTTATTTTGCATTGTATCTATAGAAATAAATAGCATTTAGTTGGTATTTTACCCATTTGTTTATTCCAAACTCTCGCAGCGCATTCAGAACTTTTCAAATAACGTGTATTACTTTAACACTTTAAACAGAACATGAAAAATTAAACTGCATAGCAGCTATTTATTTAAAACACGTCGCAAACGCTTACCGCGCCTTACACTTTGCAATATTCGCATTGCCGACGCCGCGTTAGCTCTAAATTACCTCTAAATGTGTTTTGTTTGTTCCAGGGCGGATTTAGTGACTTTGCCGCAGAACGCCAAACTGCACTACAACTTGGGCAACTTTCTGCGCGAAACTGAACAGCAGGAGAGCGCTATCAAACATTATAAAGAGGCGTTGAGGTAACAAAGACGTTCGCCGTAACGGGAGGTACACAGACTTAGTTAGGCTTTAGGGTTGATTAATATGTGGGCATATGCAATCATAAGTTAATTTAATTGTACTACTGTACCGTGTAATAGACAGTTTAACTTTTCCCTGGGACAAACTTGGCCTTCACTGGTTGGGTTTTTATTGGCGGTCAAGCTGTAGATCCTGGCTACATAAGTAGGAGTTGCAGCGGTGGGAACGAGAGGTGGGAATAGTCCCGTTAGTACCGTGTAATAATGTATGTTTAAAATACATACTTTGACAACAAACTGGAAAATCAAACACGCATAGTTTGAAAACATTGAAAAGTTCTTCTTCTGCCTCTATGAGAACATCTACATGAACATGAAGATATTGATTTTTTTACATAGTTTAAATCGTTTGACAGCCCTAAGGCATTGTAGATAGGGACATAATATAAATGGTCGCGTCAACCAAAGTTGAAACATGCATCAGTTTTGTCAAAGCATTTCAACGTACAGTCAACGTTAAACATTGTTTCCTTGTTAGAAACAATTTTCATGGGGGTGGTAAAACAATTTTAACGTGCAGATTGTGCTTTATAGAATTAACTTTTATTTTATAAGCCAAATGGACGGTTTAACGTGTCTTATGATGACTGGAATTTTGTTTCCTCATACATAATGAAGTTGATTTAAATCAAAATGTCCTAGCCAAGCAATTTTGCACTGTGTTCCTCCTAAGAATTAAACCCAAAACCTCTGAGCCTAAATCACTAACGACCGGACTACAATGGTGTTTTTGCGTAGAATGTTTTAAATTGAATTATCTTTCAATACATCTATGGCTTACTCAGTCAGTGCCTGAGGTATGAGAGTGGCACGTGAGGGATAAAATTGACATATTATGACGTGACAGACCATACAAATCTGAATCACATTTGAAGTGAAGCGGTGTTTCGGAAGGGATACGACCTGCAAGCTTTCAAGAAGAGAGCGTGTCTTCACCTTAAAGGCCGGCAACGCACCTGTAACGCCCCTGGGACTGCGGGTGTCTATGGGCGACGGTAATCACTTACCATCAGGTGATCCTTCTGCTCGTTTGCCTCCTGTCACATTAAAAAAAAAGTCTCGCTGACGTTTGACAACCCAAAATCCCGTGCCGGTCCCATACCTCAGGCAAAGAGCTAGACCTATTAATAAAAATATTTTATGATTATCTTTTTGAGTAAAATCCCAAGCAGCAAGGACTAAGGAGCAACTTGAAATAGTTTTACTCGTCTCGCGACTAATTCCTTTCAGCGAACATTTTAACATAAAGTGCAAATTGTTGCGAAATTTGTAGCATAACATTAAAGTAGTTAAAAATGTTAAAATTATATTCAAACCTTAGAAGAGATAATTTACTTAACCAGCTCATTTACTTAACACTGCACAGTGCCATAATAAAAAGAGAATGTCGTTCTAACATACCTAACTGCGTTTTTCATTCTTAACTCATTCATGAGTTCAATGCTACCTCCGAGCAATTTCAATTCAATTCAACTCTACTCTTACGTCATCATAACTGTCAAGGCCTATTCAGACCTAAGCGGTATTCGCTACCGTCTGCGGCAGAGAAAACCCAGTGTGTATGCGGTAATATTACTGTTCATACCTAAGCTCAGGTCGCTCTAGCCGCGGTACTTGATACTAAATACCTGAGCGAAACCCGCGCGGTATGTACCTCTACCCACAGCGGCAGCGAATATCGCTCAGGTCGCTCTAGCCGCGATACTTGATACTAAATACCTGAGCGAAACCCGCGCGGTATGTACCTCTACCCACAGCGGCAGCGAATATCGCTCAGGTCGCTCTAGCCGCGATACTTGATACTAAATACCTGAGCGAAACCCGCGCGGTATGTACCTCTACCCATAGCGGCAGCGAGTATCGCTCAGGTTTGAATAGGCCTTTATCAAAAAGAGGGACATTCAATGCAAAAAGTTTTCGTTTGTTTCAATGTCAACTTTATTCAGACCGGGACCTCACTGCCAGCATTCAATAAACGCTTTTGGTTCGAACGAACGAACATTGAATACCTACCCAACTTCTTGAGTAAAGTACGGCCAACGAGAAGCGATACCAAATGTAAACAAACCTAATGTCATGGATGAACCCGTCTGACTTTGACATATTTTGGCGGGAGAACGAGACACTACGACAAATACACAAGATGGGAAGAGACAGAATATATTGTCAACTCGACAGTCGTATCGACCTTTTGTATCGCTGATAGTTGGCCGTACTTTAGACAAACTTGTTGAAGTTTTGGCTGATAAAATATTGGTGTTATGCAGACTATGGCCAAGCTACGCCAGCGCTCACAACAATATTGGCACCCTCGTGACGGGGTCCGACAACGCCGAGCAGCACTTCTTGCAGGCCATCAAGTTCAACAAGTACCACGTCAACGCGCATTACAACTTGGGGAAGCTTTACAAGTAAGAAAGTAATATTATTCGTTGGCAATAATGTGTTTTTATACAGGTACTGAAAGATGGCAGATTGAGATATTTTATATAAACTTATGATAACTCCTGTTTGTGAACTCATATTTACGAATTTTTAGAATTGTTATTTTATTTGAACTAGGAATTTGATTTGATAAAGAAATTTTGAATTTTGTATGAGTAAACAATCTACGCGGGAACTTTCGTCGATCACAAAGGATTATTAATACCAGGATTAAATATCACTAGCATTAGGAATGATAGATTCAACATACAAATCTCCAAGTTCTATTTCACGCCTTTTAAGATTTATTTTTGCGACATAAGCTTGCCTATTTCCTGTCCCTAGGTCCCATGTACCATCATTCTTTAGGTACACTAACCTAATCTTCGAAGAATCCCACCATATTTCCATCATCCATCATTATCCCATCGAATTTATCCTCAAATCGTGACTACAGAATGATTATACTTTTAGAAAAAGCGGGCGCACGTCACAAGCAGTTGCCATGCTAGAGAAGTGCATCTGGCTGCAGCCTCGCTTCGTGCAAGCTCATGTCGAGCTGCTGACCCTTAAGCCTGAGAGGGAGAAGCACGCCATCCTCGTCAAGCTGGTGGAGTTGGAGCCTAACAACTGGGAGCACTTCATGCTTTACGGGGACTGGTTGAAGACGAAAGGTAAGTGATATTGAATGCTGTTTGAACATTACTGTTACTCCCCGCAGACTACAAACTTTTACAAATAGAATAGAGTAGAATAGGTTTAAAAATAGTTGGTGGGGTACTGATTTGTATGAAGAAACGGCCGATACCAAATGTGCGCACTTTCTTACTTTTACATATTGATTAACATCCAAACTATATTAACGGCCAACAAAAATCTGTAGTCTACGCTTGTACCTTAACTAATTAGTAATTTTATGTGCTTACATCGATATCCAACCAATTTTTTTAAATTCTCAATCATTAATTTGTAGAAATAAAAAATGTACGTTGTAAAGATACAATACCTCGTTACTTTCACCAAATACTAAGAACTCTTTTCTAAAACATCTAAGTATCTTTGAAATCTCGGACTTTAAAATTTCCAAAATTCAAATATCTTCCACCAATATCGACAATATTCCAACAAGTTCCATTTTCAGGGCTCGCGGCGCCAGCATCAAAGTTCTACCTGGAATCACTAAGACTGAGTTTTCGGAATCGCAACGTGGAGAAACCAATCCGAGGGGACCTAATCTCATTCAGATCGACAGCTTTAATGCTAAGGTCGTTAGGACAAAAGTCTAGGATCCTTCAGGTCCTAACAAGGTAAAAGTCTAATACAAGTTTGGAAATTGTGTTTCGACTGTTCTGAATATGTAACAAGATGTAGAGTGGATACTGCGGTGTAATGAGAAATGACAAACTAGACCTTGTGATACGTAACTTATATTACAAGTGATTTACTTGGTTGCGTATTAATCTGCCTTTCAAATTGAATAGCATTGCGAGCGTTAGATACTTTGTGAATTATTTCTAGAAATAATTACTAACTAGTTACAGTACAGTTACATTTGTAAGATTCTTTGAATTTAATAAGTACGGTAATTAAAATACAAAGACCTTATTTCTACCAATAGTGACCGATTTTCTTGCGGTACGAGAGTGAAAAAAATATCAGCACTTTCCACTTTATTGTACCAAAGCAGTGGTAGATCCTAAATTAAACTGCGACGTGTAAAAGCGCTTTTTAAAGCTTGATTGCAATAATAATTGAGTTTATTAAGGCTGAGTTGCACCACCTAACTTTGACCGTAACTTTAACCATAATCGGTGTTTTTTGTATGGAGATTGACAGATTTTTGACGTTTGTCAAAGTTAAAGTAAGATGGTGCAACCCAACCTAATAGTTTAGGACCTCCCAACCTGTCTAAATCATTCGTTTGCCTCTTGTAAATTAGAGTAATGCTCCTGTATTGGAGACTAAGTAAATGACCTAACGATGATGATGATGATGATGATGATGATGATGATGATGATGACGACGACGACAACGACAACGACGATGATGATGATGATGATGACGATGATGATGATGATGATGATATAACTTTAGATGGCACACATGGCGTCGTGGCTGGCCCAGTGCTGCGGCGGCGCATATGTATCTGAGGGACTGGCGCCTGAAGATGGAGCTGGAAGGCCGCGTGAGGATATACTCGCAGGCTGTGAACCCTACGGTAGGTAACATAAGGTTGACAACTGCTCGTCTAAAATCAGACTGAATAATATTGCGACCAATTTTGCAACTACGTACGACAGTCGCTTGTGACAGGTTAATGATGCGACATGCTATTCGTAGACTAAAAAATAAATGATACCACTTCAATAGTATAGCTCGCTAGTTTTCCTCGAAAATGCCATAGAAAAACATGGCTATGTTCATCCGCGATTCACAGAAATCTTCCTTGCTCTACTTAGATTACACTTATCTTTAAAAGTTCTTCTTTTCAAATCTAATTTTCAAGCTACCTGTATTTTTTACTCAAAATAATATGATTTTGTAACGTTGGTCTTTTTTCACAAAACTATTAAGTATATCTTAATTTAATAAAATGTTGTTTCTCTTGTACAGAAATCAACAAAATGCTTCGACCACACGCAGCTCTCGATCGAGGAAAAGCAAGAAAACAGCCCGAGCCCGGAAGAGAAACGCCACATAGATGCGCTCAGTCGCGTCAGTGCAAGTGATATTAGTGAGACAAAATCGTGCGAACAAAAGACATGCGGGACCAAAAAACGCAGCCTGTCCATCTCAAGCCAAATAAAGACAACGCATAACAAATCAGAAATCGGACTGAAAAAAAAGTGTGTGCATAGAAAAGACGATAAGGGAAAGGGCGTGATACCGAACATTGCGGCGCCTCTCGAACACATACTTATGAAGACGTTTTAGGTTTAACAAAGTGTGATATTTAAGAGTGACCGTCTGTTTAGTTTAGCAAGGGTGCCGATGCTACAAACATTCGATTTTGTCTACGCAATTTCATTCATCTTAGAAGACACTAGAAACATCTACTAAGCTTCTCTGTCCCATGAATTAAATATCTCTTTTTTATGCCCACATTCTGAATGCTAACGTAAATAAGTGTTACCCTAATTTATATCTGTGATTGTAGATGATTTTTTTATTAACTTTTTTCATAAACTGTATTTTTGTCGCATCTCTGTGGCACCGGCGCCCACTGCCCAGCGTTTGAAGTAGTCAACATTCGCTTGCGACTTTTTTATTGATCCCAGGGACGTTAGATGTAAATGCCGACAATATCGCGAGGTTACTTAGTTAAGGCTAATCTAGTCGGTGCGTAGTATTCCATTACTTATCATCATATTTTCAGCTAGCTACATCATTATATTTTGAGCAGTTGACACACGACGATGACCTCATAAAGGTAGCAAGAAGGCACTGGATGCAGGCCGCCACCAACCGGCTATTGTGGAAATCTTTGGGGGAGGCCTATGTTCAGCAGTGGACGTCCTATGGCTGAAATGATGATGATGATGATAAGTTGACACACTGTTCATTTGAAATACGTATAAGAGCTGTCAAAATTATGACTCTCTTGACTGAACTAAACTCATCAGTTCACGAACTCAATTAAACTTTTTATCAACTACCCAATTGCATTATTACATAATAATATGGGTATAACAGCAAAAATCCGTTCAAAATAAGTGTAAATAAATAAATAATGAAAAAAACAACATTCACTAGAACCAACTAGTTATCAAGTCAATTTTAAAATGCCCATCAGAAATGGGAAGCACAATTCCAATAACAATTCAATTATTGCGTACTATTCCATATTGGCCTTTGTTTGGAAATACAAAGCTTTGGATCGTTTATGATAACAGTACGGTTTTAATTGCTTTATACTTAAAACAAATTAAAGAGACTGGCAACTAAAAATTAAGTTATTAAATGTCAACATAATAGGTGGTTTTGTAACTGTAGGCCCATCAAACATTATCTTCAATTTGAAACAGACGTTAAAGTTATTATAGTATAAGCGACATAATAATATTATTCTGGAAAAGAGGACTTCAATTTCATAACTTTCAACAAATAGGGTTGAATAAAGTAAATACAGGGTGGGCCAAAAACGTTTGCAAATACAACGCTTGATATCTCGAAAATGATTCGAGGTAGAGACGCGTGGGTAATCGGAAACTGTGCACAGATTCATGCATTTTAGTCACTATGGAGTGCTTCATGAAAAAACATCGTGCTTTTTGTGTATTTTTTTACTAAAGCAACCTCCTAAGACGTATCTTTAGAACTGAAAACGTTTTCGAGAAATCAAGCGTTGCTACTTGCAAAGATTTTTGACCCACCCTGTATACTGCAAACATGTAGGTAAAGGGAAAATATTTACGCTATATGATTGGTAATGGAATACCTAAACCGACAAACTTAGATAGATAACTAATTTAAACTATTTGTAGAGATCGAAATGAGAATATATTTTTGTCAAAGTTGGATTAGGTGGTTTGTAATAAACACGCACTAAGTTTTTACGCTAGCGTTAGAATATCGTTGCTCTGTGTCGTCAACATAGAAAACTAAACAAAAGAGATTTAACAAAACAAAAAAACATCGCATGTGAATGCAGTAAAACATTCGATAGAATTCATAGTTCTGTGGTTTTTCCGATTTGTCCTCAAAACGATTTTATTCTATTGTAGTGTCTATTAGTTTCTCTGACTCATCTTAAATTGAATGTACTAGACTATATGCCTCTAATACAATCTTAAGTATGCATTTGTATAAAAAAACACTCGAAGAACTGGTATTATAAAACGTATTTTGAAAATATGCTCAAAATTCACCACTTATAGATTCAAGCATATTTAGTTTCAATATTACTTCAATCTATTCTAAATGAATCCTCGTTTTTATAATACGTTAGTCTGTTTTTGTGTGTATTTGTATTTCTGTAAGTTTTAAAAGCTGACGACACAGCAGCCAAAAATGTGCCACAACCAGCTTCCGATGTCGCTTGGCCTTATGATCTGGACATCAACACGAGTGCTTATAGTGAATCGATTTGGGTAATATCATGATTGGTACGATTGGATAACATTTATCAATATTATTCCCACTTTGTGTATAACTAGATTTTAATCTTCAAACAATAACACAGAAATCATTTATTTAATGTGGTTCCCAAAAATATGTACCGATTTTATATTCAGTAGTACATATTAATTTGAAAAAATAATCTTGATAAATGTGATTGATTGTAATATTGTAAACCTAAAGGATGGCAAATTTTATATAATCAAAAGTGCATACTTAATACTTTTGGACCCATGAATAATGTATGAAGAGACGCCATGGAATAATACTTTTCGTAAGATGTACATATTATTAAGATAGACTAAAGGCACATGGCAATGCTTTGAATGTATACTGAGAATAAACAATTGAGTATTTTTTGTGGTTTTATTGCTTTCCTAAGTGCCTTTACCTGTGATGCGGATTTAAGGACGTCGCACATTTATCAACCCAAAAAGGGATCGTAACCGTATCAACTCGAGGCGGTCAGTTTTCCATACAACGCACACTTGTCCGCACCGTGACGTAAACGCCTCACCTCGCAATTGACAGCGCGCGAAAGGCAATGACAGCTCGCGAAAGGATAACGCCTTTGTGTTGATCCCTTTCCGAGTTGATAAGTCTGCTATGAGCTTACATCCGCATTTAAATATTTCATACATGTTTTTCCAATAAGCGGGTTACACGCACGCGGAACTCTGATTGGTTGCGGGCACACAATACGAAATTTTTTTCAACCAGCAGTGTGATTACACGTACGCGTGCTGAAATCCGCATCACCGGTAAATGCAATAAACCTATGTTAATTACCACAGATCACAGAAACTAAAGGGAGATGTGCCAAGGGGACGTGGCCGGTGTCGCAGCAATATGCCCATAAACAACACATTTCTCGTGAATGAAATGATGACAGCATCGACGTCATAATGTAAACAGTCCTACATTTGCTTGCGTAGTACTAAAGATTAATCGAACGTTGAGTAGGTAGGTACTGATACCGCTGTGGATAATGAGCACATATTTTAATTACATTGTGTGAGTAAATTTCTAATTCGACACTGAGTTTCGAACTCAGCGTATTATTTGGCATCTCTCTATATCTCTATGTTAATTACCAAAAATAAATACACAATTATTTGTATTAGCTTTCATATAAAATTTTATCATCTATAACATCTTTTCTAATTTATCGAAATCAATTTCGATCTGAAAATCGAAAGCTCAACCATCCGAAGCTGTTAACGTTAAGGGAGCTTCAACAAAATACATTTTAACAATTACTTCACTCCAGTTTCAATATTCATTGTTTCCAGGTACCTCTGCCACTAATTGAGGGTCCAATTAGAGTTATCAGAGTTGGTAACAATGATTTTAATTTAATTAATATAGTTGTGATTCCTGAGACAACTCCTTGGAACTTGAAGGTTAAGTGCGAGAAGCATTAGCGGTCTGGTAAATAGCTAAGTTTTCTTTACAAAGGCCAGTTTAACCATTAACTGAAGAACAGTTTTAAGTTAACTGTAAGTACTAAAACTTCCACCTAGTAGGAGGCCTGCCCACGCTACGTCTTCCAGCCCGTGGTCGCCACTCGAGAACCTTTGTCCAGCAGTGGACGTCATTTGGCTGAAACGAACGAACGAACTAAAACTTCATGGTTAATAGCAGTAAGGTACTGTACCTGCTTTGACACGAACGTTGCCGTTTTAAGTAGCTCTTCGACTTCGAAATATTTCTACTACTTATATGAGCTACAGTGTTTAACGCCCGTATTCACAAACATTACTATGAGGTCTCACAATGCGCGTGAACGCACAGGATGACACACGAATCAATCACAGAGCTCTATTCAACGCTGTGCATTCGATTTGCTGCTTCACTTAAACAAGTATCGTTTGTGAATACGGGCGTTAATTTATTAGAGGTGTCATATTACCCACAATATCTTGAAAAGACCTAGTCTTTGTACGCAGTTTTTCAAATACTTTGGTCTTATTTGTTTTTATTAAGACGAAATTAAGGAATTTCACCAAACCTAAAAAACATGGTCGTTTTATAAACTTTAAGAAAGGTAAATTTCCCACTGGCGTGTCGTCCATTAAATTGTTAGTTCAAGGTTCGATGAGGCTGTCTCCTCTTTTTCTATTCTCTCTTTGTTTATATCTCCTCTTTGTCCTTCTTCTATTAGGACAAAATACCCACATTTTGGGTATTTTGTCCTAATAGACAAAATACCCAAAATAAATAAATATAATAAAAAAGAAAGGTAAATAAAACACGTAGGAAACACATAGACCTATACAAATAGATACAATATGTTCATGTTCGCTGCTAGGAATATAAGCAAGCTTTCATTCTATTCTCGTCAGATTCCTTGAGTAAAACAAATTACCCAAGTGAAAAGAAGTAATTAACATGCCCGCCCCAAAGTTTAAATGAAAGCGAATAGTTTGCTCACATGGCGGAGTAATCTGCGCGAACTTCAGCCATTTGAGAGATGTGTCAATGCATCTTGAGGAATTGCTTATCGAGGTTTTGCGTTTTCTGAAGCTAATTTTATGAAACATATTATAACACAAAAATTTAACTTAAATTAAAATAAGTGGAAAAGAAAAAAATAAAAAATAAGAGCTGGTCTAAGAGCCAAAGAGAGGCGTCACCGCATCCGCAAGTCATATAATAACGTGTTAGAAAATAATAATTACATCTCTCTTACAGACATGCAGGCTGCGTTTCCTTTAAATATACTGTGCTTACTATCTATCTACTATGTGGTCACGTAAAAAAAAGGGGCGGTTATCCATATCTTTATAAATAAGGTGAATTAATTATAACATTCATTATTTTAGATTTCAACACAATACCTACGTCTTAGGTCTCTCATTTTCTGCGAAAAAGAGCCAGAAGAGCAAGCGGAAATTTAACTTCAGTTACCGTTGAGAAAATAATTAGGTAGGTAGGCATTTTGAGAAAGCGATTCAAGAGTACCTAAGCCAGCTCATAATAGAACTGAAGACTTGTTAAATATTATACTACAAGAAACCTTGATATAGCTACATGTATAGATGTATACTAATGTGTACAGGGTGTCCCGTAAATCAACGTCAAGCCAGGACTGGGTTTTGAGGCGAGTTGTGCTGGTTATCAGAAAAATATAAAAAAAATTATATGTGGCATATTTTCAAAATAATAGGCATTTAAAAAAAAACAAAAAATTCTACTCCCGGTGACGGTCTTTTTACTCCTTTTGCCACAAATCTTCACTACGCAATTATACAATCGTGTATCACTACATCCTGTGTCACATATAAAAAAAAATACTACCATTGGTCACACGTTAAAATGTTTTCATCATCACCTTTGTGTTACTTTGTATACCATAACACTAGGCCAGCAACTCATAAACCATCTACAGCATCCTTAAAACCTCAGAGAATTACATCTAAAAAGTCAAATAGAAGCCGATACTAGTAAATGACTAATTCCCCTGCGGGTTTAATGCCGCGAGAGATTGCTACCGGACCGTTAACGGCGGTCGTAAGATCCGTTTACGGCTTATAATCGCTGTAAACCAAATAATTGTGAACGAAACCCGTAAAAAGTAACAGTTGTTTAGCCGTTAACCTACAAGCTATAAGTTTGTATAGGTACTAAATGATTGGAATGGCGAAACGTTAGATAACACGTTCTACGATTACGACTCCAGTACGGCTAGCACGAAAAACTTTCGAGTTCAAATCGTTTGCGTACTCGAATCGCCATCAAAAGATTGAACGAAAACTACAACAGCGCCCTTGTGAACGTGTCGTAACGTGAACTTGGATGAGAAATGATTGCACGAAACTTATTTTTAGAATCAAGATTGTCACGTTATCGTTTAAAGCGAAGGTTGAGTATCGAATTTTATCGAATACGCAAACGATTCGAAGACGAAAGTTGTTCATGCTAGAGGCACAGGTGAAACTCCAGGAAAAGTTTTCTTGAATCTAAACATGAAATAAAACAATACTATTTTAAGTGCCTACAACAAATAACTTTTTAACACACAAGAAACACAATTACAATTATAACTGGTGTATCGTGATTACGAGTAAAAACCCTGTATTTTTTAACTCAATGTATAATCTTCTTCTTGTCGTGTCAGCAACAAACCAACACAGTGTCAGCCCAAAACTCCGCTACAAGAGTGGCGTTGTCAGTAGCATTCATCAAATTTTCCTGCGTGCAGCAGTTGTTTGAGCACGCAGGGCACGACATCATGAGCTTCGTCAAGATATAATTACCTACGGCTTATTTATGTTCTAAATATTGCTAGCTCTACCACCACTTCAGGGCTACATCAGTTGGTACTAAGAAGAAATAGCGGAAGAATCCAGGTCACATTAGTCAGCCTTATGTTTATCTGGGGGCACGGCAGTGCCCCCGCCAAGTCGAGCGCGAAGCAAACACTGCCGTACCATCCTTTACTGGAACCATTTCGCCGCATTTTCAGGCCTCTATTTGAGAACCTTTAGATAAGACCAGAACGCAGAAATTTTCGTCATCTAGTAAGCTATAATCACACACTTAAAATCCAAAATTTCAAGTCTGTAGGTCAATTAGTTCCGAAGTTAAGCGAAAGCAAAGTTTCGCATTTATGACACTCACTCACTTTATTTGTTGAAATTTATATGTCACATAATACCGTCATAAATTGTGGCCTGTGTGTTGATCTGGTTTGTAAACAATACTACTGTGGAGTTTCAGTGGAATCCGTTCGGTGGTTTTTGCGTGGAGGAGTAAAGAACACCCAGACATCAAAACTTTCGCCTTTATAATATAATATTAGTATGATATTGATTGGTATTTCCCCTAGTCGTTTTTTAAACATTTTTACTGATAGCGGATGGTGGGAGGGTTCATTTCGTTTTCGTGCGCTTCGCGGATTCCCTAGCAAGAGCTGAAAATCAGTGTTCTGCCCTTTTCAGGGCAGTGTTTACATTGAGCTCTTTGCTTTTTGCATCGCTGCGACACACATCATGCAGGAAGTATTCTTCCACTTGTTACTGCTTTTGTTTGTTTTATGCATGCTTATATAACTAGTATTCTACTGTATTCTATTCTTTTCTTATTATTGTTATGCTGCAACTTTACTCTTTATGTGTGTTAAGTGTATGCAAATAAATGATTTATCTATCTATCTATCTATCTATCACTTCAGGACTACATATGCTGGTACTAAGAAGAATGTTTATTACAGGAAACGCAATTTACAAGGTAAAGCAGACAGAATAGTAATCAAATCAATCCATTTCCTGGTAGTTGATTGAGCTGGAACTTTACACACAAACATACTCAAATGTCAGTCGGAAATCAATGCAATATTATATTATACAGGGTG